TTTCTAGGAAACCAAATATTTCACGAGGAAAAGAATTTCAGCTGATATGAAGGAATACTAAAGTTAGAAAATGACGGCGCTGGGACCCCGAATGAAACGACGAACTGGATGAGCTTACCAAGGACCGCTGGCACCGCTGGGTGGGTAATGGGGGAGGGGAGCGTTACTAGGGAAGCCTGGGGCTGAGGGCACTGGCACAATGAGCAAGTGCTACATCATAACCTGACTGCCCGGGAGGGCTAGCCTAGACAGCTTCTTCCTGTCAATGGGAAACCCAACTGCAGCAATAATAATGAACGCGGTTTATATCTTGTCTTTTTTTTTTTTTTATAATTTTTTCCTAAGAATTATTTTATTTAACTTCATTTTATGTATTCATTTATTTTCAATTTGACTAGAGAAGAACAGAGTGAGTGAGTGAAAGAGAGAAAGAGAGAGAGAGAGAGAGAAAGAGAAAACAAGCTGCCAGGTCCAGGACTTGAACCACAGTTGAACCATGTGGGAGTCCAGTGCCCTTAACCACCACACCACCTGCCAGCACCTCTTTTCTTTCTGTAGAGGTTTTTGCCTTAGGTGGAGTGCATTCACTTGTTGGGGGGAGGGGTGGTGGAGGAGGAAGAGACAGAGACAGTAAGAGAAAGTGAGAAATCACTCCCCAGGGGGAATGGCCATGCTGCAATCCCTTCTCCATTCTCCCCCTGGGATCTTGGGCATGCACACGCAAGCTCCTGGCATACTTTTCAAGCCACTAGGTCCACTTCTCAAAACGCAGTTGCCATGTGGGAGTCCAGTGATATAATCGCTACGCCATCTGCTGGCCCCACAGTGGTTTATTTCTTTTCTTTTTTGGAGAGGTTTTTGCTATAGGGCGTGTGTGCTTGCCAGAAAGACAGAGAGAGACAGAGAAATAGAAAGTGAGAAATCACCCCCCAGGGGGAGATGGTCACGCCGCAATCCCTTCTCCTCCATTCTCCTCTCGGGATCTTGGGCATGCACGTACACACGCCCAGCATGAGTTTAAGCCACTGGGTCCGGGACTCGAACTGCGGTCGGCTACATGGGAGTTCAGCGGTTGGCTACATGGGAGTTCAGCGGTCGGCTACATGGGAGTTCAGCGGTCGGCTACATGGGAGTTCAGCGACATAGTCATTACGCTAACTGCTGGTCCCCACAGTGGTTTATTTCTAAGCACAAGATCAAGTAACTAGGTCCAGAGAAAGACAAGCATGTTTCTCAGGACGCTGACACACAGTGGTTCCTTGTACAGTTCTGAGAGCAGGAGAGCCCTTAGTCAGCATAAGGAGCTCTGTACATTGGCCTGGTCCTAGGCATCTGGAAGTGGAGGCTGATAGGGTTATAGATAAGCTTGAAATTCTTAGATTAATAATTGGTTAAAGAAAAACTCAACTGTCTGTTCCTGAAAGAAACCAGCAAAAGAATGTGCTTACTAAGAGACAAGAAGGCTTAGTATGCATCATAAAACACTGGGCCTGGGATAGGATGGAGCACCCCACTATCAACGGACCACAGGGGTCTTTTAGGTCTCTTAGGTGCTTGGGCTTCTGCTAATATTTGTAGGTGTGACTCTCTCAGGCCAGGAAAATGTAGTAAGAATTCTGTCTTCATTCCCTTGAGGTGACAGGAGAGCAGGCCACCAGCCCTGAAGGACTCACCCCAGAAGAATCTGCAGCCAACTGTGCTCCTGAACACTACTTCCAGGAAGAAAGAAGACAGAGCATGGCGGTAAAACGAACCACAAGAATGCAATTAGCCAATGCTCCACTTCTTGGAAACGAAGAAGCAAAAGATAGAAAAAAAAGAAATACGGAGTGGAGGGAGGGACTCTTTATGTATTTAAAGAGACTTCTTGCACTTGATTTCCCAATCAGTTGTGGATCCTGATTTAAATACACAAAATCTAATTGAAAGGACTTTTAGGGTGACAGTTGGGGAAATTTATGCATGGACTGGATTTTGGATGGCCTTCAAAAGGTTCATAGAAAAGTGGAATTGAAATGCGAGTTTATTTTGGTGCAAACAAATTTTGAAATCCATTCTTTTTTTTTTTGCACAGTATGCATTTTCCATGGGCTTTCTGAAGACCTCTCATATTTACTGGTAAACATTTGGGATATCTAGGATTTCCTTTAAAATAGATGAGGAGGTAGAAGTGGAAGAGGAGAGGGGAGGGGAAGAGGTGGAGGAAAAAGGGAGAAGATGAAGAGAACATGTGGGAAGGGTCTAGATGAAGTAAGATTAACAAAGTGTCAAAGCTGGGCCATGGGTTAATGAGGGTCCATTATACTTTCTCATGTAAATTTAAAAATTTACATAAGAAAATGTAAAATGAAGAGAAAAGAACTGCTCTTTGAGCTTAGCAGCCTCTCTGTGTTTTGAGCAGACTGACCTCCTGAGGACAGCTCTGACAAGGAAATGACAAGGAAATGGCCATTAATCTACTCCCTGCTGGAGGAAAACCAGCCCATGGCTCTTTCTGGGAGGAAGGAATGCTGAGGACTTGCAGCTGCCACTAGAATGCTCCCAGACCAAGGATCACAGGACCCTGGACCTACCCCGCTAAGTCCTCTCCGTAGCCTGGTGGACCTAGCCTTGGGATTTGCTCCAGCGAGCGGGGCAGTAGCAAACGCAATGCAAACAGAGACCTGAAAGGTGCCTGTGAAGACACACACAGGGTCACCAGGAGCCCGTGACGCCACTGTGGGAAGGACTGGACCAGGAAAGGCAGCTCAGAGCTGCCAATGAAAGGCAAGGTCCTCAGTCCGGGCCAGGTGTAAGCAGAGGCCTTGGTTATGTCCTGTGCCCAAGGAGGTCATTCCCCAGAAGGCCCATATGTGGTAACCAGAGTTTACAGCCAACGAGCAGAGGTAGGTCAGGTTACAGATGTACAGTGTGACTCTCTCTGCATCTCAGGGTTCCTGGAACCCACCATGGAAAGACTGTCAGTCACTCAGCTGCTTGTGATTCTTCAAGTGAACCACTGTGAATTCTTCGTTTTTTTTTAGGAGAGGTTTTTGCTATAGGGCACGTGCGCTTGCCAGACAGAGACAGACAGAGAGACAGAAAGCAATAAATCACCCCCCAGGGGGGATGGTCACGCCGCAATCCCTTCTCCTCCATTCTCCTCTTGGGATCTTGGGCACGCATGCACACGCGCCCGGCCTGAGTTTTAAGCTACCGGGTCCAGGACGTGAACCGCGACTACGTGGGAGTCCAGCAACATAGCTGAGGACTTGCAGCTGCCACTAGAATGCTCCCAGACCAAGGATCACAGGACCCTGGACCTACCCCGCTAAGTCCTCTCCGTAGCCTGGTGGACCTAGCCTTGGGATTTGCTCCAGCGAGCGGGGCAGTAGCAAACGCAATGCAAACAGAGACCTGAAAGGTGCCTGTGAAGACACACACAGGGTCACCGGGAGCCCGTGACGCCACTGTGGGAAGGACTGGACCAGGAAAGGCAGCTCAGAGCTGCCAATGAAAGGCAAGGTCCTCAGTCCGGGCCAGGTGTAAGCAGAGGCCTTGGTTATGTCCTGTGCCCAAGGAGGTCATTCCCCAGAAGGCCCATATGTGGTAACCAGAGTTTACAGCCAACGAGCAGAGGTAGGTCAGGTTACAGATGTACAGTGTGACTCTCTCTGCATCTCAGGGTTCCTGGAACCCACCATGGAAAGACTGTCAGTCACTCAGCTGCTTGTGATTCTTCAAGTGAACCACTGTGAATTCTTCGTTTTTTTTTAGGAGAGGTTTTTGCTATAGGGCACGTGCGCTTGCCAGACAGAGACAGACAGAGAGACAGAAAGCAATAAATCACCCCCCAGGGGGGATGGTCACGCCGCAATCCCTTCTCCTCCATTCTCCTCTTGGGATCTTGGGCACGCATGCACACGCGCCCGGCCTGAGTTTTAAGCTACCGGGTCCAGGACGTGAACCGCGACTACGTGGGAGTCCAGCAACATAGCCATTACGCTAACTGCTGGTCCCCCACCATGAATTCTTGAGGATCACCCTGTAAAAGCTCCTCTTCCTGCCCTCTGTTACACGAACCAGCCCTCTTAGAAGCCATGGCGGTGCACACACTGTAGCAGCCAGAATCCATGTCACACTGACTGATTCCTTCAGAGCCCCTGCTTCAAATAAATGTCCTCCGCTTCCCTTGCCGTGCCTTGGCCCTCTTTCTAGGCCCACAGAGCACAGGCTAGCCTCCTGTAAATGTGCCCGTCACGTGGGACAACCGTGCTCCAAACACGAAGGACACACCCTGATTTCCAGCCCCAGATGAGCTGGCCCAGGTGAGATGCCACGGCTGAGAGAGGGAATGTATCTTTGTTGTTTTATGTCACTGAGGTTTAGAACTGTTTGTTCTCAGCCAAAGGTAACTGATACAGTACATGAACTAAAAGGTGAGGGCAAAAATCTTTTCCGTCTGTTTACCTCCTTACGAAGTAAAAATAACTAGCTCGTGTCCATCTGTTCCCATGTCACCTAAGAGGAAGAGGGTAATTATAGACAGTCTGGACAGCTGTGGATTCGAATCCCTTCCTGCCCTCGCTGGCCGGCACCCTGCACACCGGAGGCGCGTACCTCTAGCCTGCATGCTCTCCTCTTTAAAATGAAGATACAGGCTGGCCGCTATGCAGCAGTTAAGCCCTGTACACGGAAAGCCAGATCCCACACACTGACTGTGGTTAGCACCCCAGCCCTGGCAGCTTATAAAACACACCAGACACATATGTGTTCCCCAAATCCCGACAGGATAGAGAAATGGAGGAAAAGGTATTGCAGTGTTACCACTCCCCATCTGGGGGAGCTTTCTCTCCGCCTTTCTCTCTCTAGAAGTGCACGTGCCTTCTGGCAAGAATAGAAATAATAAATGTCAGTACATGCCGACTGCCCACCCTGCAAGGATGGCTGAGGAGTTAAACAGAAACACGCCCACTTAGTAAGAGCTCCAGAGCCCAGCTCTGGCCAGCAGGGCTCCTTACCCGTCCACGAGCCCTTGCTGCTTAATGATCCTGTGGGATTCCTCCCTGGAGATCCGCCCGTGAAACCAGTGCTGTGTCCTGTGAATCACTGCAGGGAAGAGAAGAAGGAAGGGGTAATCAAGGCTCTGCGGATGGCTGCCCGGAAATCACAGCCGACTACTTCAGGTGGCGCCCCCGCCCCATGGCTACACCCGTCACAACACCCCTGGGGTAGAGGCAGCATTGGAAGGTGTAAGGAGGTGCAGGTGTAGAGGCTGCTCTGCTTTCTTGACCTACGCAAACATCAGGCCACAGGCTGCTTTACCTGTGCTCAGGGTAGAAGGGTGGAGGGGACTTTGGCTGCCTAGGACGTTCATCCGCGTGCTCCGCTTCTGCAAGAGAGAACCCCACGTCAGCACGACAGATAGCTCTGACAAGTCACCGGTGTGTCAGCCCTCAGGCAGGCTGGGACCCTCAACCCCCCCGGAAGCCCACCTGGCCACGGACAATGAAGGGCTTCCGAGCCACAGTCATGAAAATAATCATAGCATCCGGGCAGCTTTCCACCCCCGTACTGAGGTGGAGATGCCGTGTCTAGCATAGAAGACACACGGTGAAGAGGTCATGAAAATTAGGAGAAATCTTTGGAGAAAAGCAGGAATCTTTCTATTGAACTCGAGCAGGTCTCTGGACTCCCCGGCTGGCATCCTCTTCCTCCCCATACTCCAAAGTTCAAGTCATAATGCTTTCCTACCCAGAGCCGCAGCTCCATTTCACACACGGTCTCCAAGTCTCAGGAAAGCGCAGGAGCTGGTTGACCCCGTCCCTCCCTGAAGGCTAAGAACCTGGGCCTGAGAGGTGCAGGAGCTGTGCAGGCCTTAGAGCGAGTCAGGGGAGAGCCACGACGTGACTGCCTGCTGCCGGGCTCTGCACGCCTACAGCCCCTGACAATCCAGCAGCAGAACTAGTTCTGCCCATGAACCCGAGTTCTGCTTCTCACCTGCCCTTTCCAGGGGAGCAGCGGATGTAAGGCAGTGGGAAAGGACTGGGTGCAGGGGACAGGGAGGTGCCCTGAGTGCCCATAGCCTCCTGCACAACATCCCACACCTTTGACAACTCCCACTAAGCCATCCTTCCAGAAGGCCATGTGGGGGGCTGTCACCCACGAGGGAGCCTCTTGGATGGGGCAGGGCCATGGCCTTACCCTCCAGGCATGCCCTTCTTCCAGGGCTGCGCTCTGGGCTTCCGCGGGATTCTCTATCACTCTTCCTGTCTGCCCAGAAAAATCCATCGCCACGAGGGAGTTCTCAGAGACACTGCGCTGGAAAGGAAAGGACACAAGTTCTCACAAGGTTGGGAACGAAGCCAGAACAGCACAGTGGGGTGTCCCGGTGTGAAGTAATCGTGATGACGGCTGGAAGAGTAGGAACACTTCAATCTCCCTCTCTTAACTCCCCAAGTTTCATGTTGAAATTCACTGGTTCAGGTTGAAAATTCAGACAGCAGGAGACCCTTAAGCCAAATGAGCTTAGAATAAGGCATGTTCTGGTCCTCGGACTGCTGGGAGGCCATCTGGCACCAATGGGCTTTGAACCGTGTGGTCCACCCTTGGCTCCCTGACCTGTGCTATGACACATTAAGGCCAAGCCACTGTGGCACAGGAGGTAGGGGCCCACTGAGTGACGCTGCTGGTCACAAGGGAGCCCTGGGCTCACCCCGCAAGTCTATCTGACTATGCAGGGCCTGCTCAGAACCCTGGCTGGCTGCAGGGCTGAGGCAGGGTCACGGCATGAAGACCCTGTTGAGGTGCCCCCCAGACCTTGATTATATGAGGGAAATAAGTAACTCTGAAGAGAGGTAAAAAATAGGAACACAAGGGTGAGCCTGGTCCTCACTACGAATGGCTCCCTTGGTCACTTCAGTTCAGGAAAATACGGGGACTCCTGTGGGAGCCTCTGTCCTCGCACAGGGACTGACATGGAAGTGGTTTTAAGACTGTGAGGCATGAAGTGCTCCTTACCTTCAGGCAGTGAGATAAACACCGCCAACTCAAGTAGTGACTAGAATCTCTAAAGCTCACCAGGCAAGGACCAGAGCACACTGGACCTCAGAGCCAGGGGCCCCTGACCTCAGGAACGAAAGCCTAGGCCCCCAGCAGAGCGCAGAGTTGCTGTTGTCCTTTGGAGCATCTCAAGGAGAGTCATGTATCTCAACAGCCTTGGGGGGAGTGCAGGGACCGGGGTGTGGGGAGGAGCATGGATGGTAGAGGGATTTGCTCCCACGGTTATACTGTGGAGACTGCACAACTCTCACCTCCTGTGAAATGGAACCAGTCGGGATAGGCAGGCTTCCCTGACAGGCGCATGCTCTTTCCAGAGCTTCCCTTGGCTACTCTGTGTGAAAAGGGAGACTGGGAGCATGGCAGCAGAAAGGCAGTTGACATTTGAAGGTCTGTACTCACCACCGGCGTCGAGAAGGGGGAGAGCGAGGCTTTCCTCTGCTGAGGGATTCGGTAGTTCTGGTAAAGGAGCATTCCATACTGAGGAGGAAAACAATGAGTCACCAGGGCCCCAGGGCCCCCGAGGCCCAGCAAAGGCCACAGCAGGAGGGTAATGCCAAGTACCAGGCAATGAAGGACACCCTGTGATCGGAAGCACATTCAATATGGTGCCTTCCTCTCCTTGCCCCGTAAGATAAGGAAGGACCCAGGAGCTTTGGAATGCTGGGAGGAGGCAAGCAGGACAGTGACACACTTCAGAATGACAACGAGAATGATGAACCTTCCCGAGCATGGCTATGGGTCAAGAAGTGTTCTAAGAGTTTTATGTTATTACTTCATTTAATTTTTCCTACTGTATGAGCTATTGGGACATTGGGGAAGTCATGACACAGTTTTGTATAGAAAAATGTTATGAGTTTTCTCATGACCCGATTAGTTATCCCCATTTTACAGATAATAGAACTGAAGAACAAAGGCTGTGAGAAAGTACAGATTTAGGATCTGAAAACCACCAGGCTTACTGCCTGACCAGTTTAGGTGTCTGTGCTTATGTGCCCTGGCACTAAGGATGAAGAGCTCTGCAAAGTCTCATACACATGCAATACTCCAACTACACTCCCAAATTATCCACTCAAATCAGTCAGAGAAGAAAAAAACAGAGCAGAGAAGAGAAAGCAAAGTTATCAAGATGTATCTTCCTTGTGACCTTCCTTCATGGGATGTAGCTCAGTGAGAGCTCTAGTTCCTACATATGTACTCCTAAAACAGAAGTATTCCGACGTGATGGAAGGTCTAACATAGGTACAACTGCACTCCTCTAAGGAGGAGTGAGAATGGGTCAGAAGAAATGTTGGTGAGATAATGGTCAAGAATTTTCCAAGAGACAAAATGACTCCAAATTATAGAGGCAGGGTAAATAAACCATACCCTAAGCACATTGTAGAAAGATTGCTTAAAAACAGAAAAAAAGGAAAAAAAAATATCAAAAGCAACCAGACAAAAATATATTGGGCTGTTGGAAATGTCATGATGCACTTTTGCATAGAAAGACAGAAAAAGTGTATCATGACTTTGCTGACAACTCAATATATCACTTTCATAGAAGCAACTAAAACGCAACTGATAATGTGTAAGTGATAAGACCCAGAAGACGATGGACCCAGTGAAACTGAAAACAAAATACTGTGAACCTAGCATTCCATATATTCCTTTAATAAAGGTGTCGGGCCAGATAGTGATGCAGTAGTAATGCAACTGGACCTGCAAGGGCAGGTTCTGAGTTCATGTCCCAAGGACTCTTTATACAAGCCGGATGCATGTGTTATACCTGCAATCTGGGCTGTCTTGAGTGGGAGGGTGGATTGTGGTGTGAGGATCCTGTAGGGTATGCTTGTCTCTCTGTGTGTCTACTTCCCTCTCTCTGCATGTCTCTCTCATGAAAAAAATGAAATAAAATGAAGGTAAAATAAAAATTCAGAAAATTTCTTAGGCCTTCACTAAAAGAATTGCTAAGTTGAGTTCTTCTAGTCCCAGAGAGAAGAACGCACATATGGGAAAAACTAAACTATGAACATGTAAATGATTAAAATAAAAATTGAGTTAAAGTGATAGCAACATATCTTAAGGGGTTTAAAACATGAACAGAGGGGGCCGGAAGGTGGCATGGTGGTTAAAGGCGCTGGGGGGACGGCTAGGCTGCAATTCCTTCTCCTCCATTCTCTTCTTGGGATTTTGGGCATGCACGCACATGTGCCCAGTGTGAGTTTCAAGCCACTGGGTCTGGGACTCAAATTGCAGTTGACTATATGAGAATCCAGTGATATAACCATTATGCCATCTGCTGGTCACATATGTGTATATATTTGTATACATGACTGTGTAGATGCAGACTGGCAGACAGGGACGTAAACAGAAAGAAGCAAGGTGTTAAACTTGCACAGAGAAGGCATACCCTGATGCCTGTGAAGTGACCTCTAAGTCCTTGGAAGGTCCTGCCTAATGTGTCTGTTTCCCAGGGGCTTTGGGCCAGGCCATGTGGTCTGGGCTAAGAATGTGCTCTCTGATGGGCGTGTTAAGCCATGTTTGTCGCCCCAGTCTGCAGAGGGGCGAGACTAAGTCCGTTGTACCTGTAAAGACTAGATGCTAAGACCCAGGTGCACCATGCTCTGGGCACACTGTCACACCTGGTGCTGGGCGGAGTCTGGGCTTGCACAGGACTCCCTTGGGAGAGGATAGCCTGACATTCCCACCTGGGAACACCTCGTCCTGTTGCAGATTGCAATTTGTAACTTTTTGCTATAATCAACTATTAACCAGGAATCAAGAACTTTGCTGAATTCTGAGTTCTACCAAATTAATGAACCTGAGGGTGATTCCAGGGCCTTCTCAAACTTGGATGCACATAGTCAAACAGATAGATAGATCTATATATAGACACACACACACATTGTGTATGAAAGGGGATATTCAAAAAGTTATGGAAAATGTGATTACAAAACTGTGGAGATTTTAAAAAATTCTTCTTACACCAAAACCAACTCGTATTTCTTCCCATGAACCTTTGAAGCCCTCTTTCCCATATACTATTTTTCCTTTCCTTTCTCTTTCTTTGGTTTTACTTAGATCATTGATTTTAAAGCTTCTTTCCTTTTTTTTTTTTTTTTTCTTCTTAGAGAACATGGTTACTTGTGGGGCTGGTGGGGGGAGACCCCAATGGGCTGTGATCATGCAGCAACCTTTGCCCCTTCATTTCTCCATCCTGGAAGGATCTGGGGTATGCACGCATATATACCTGGAGTGTTTTTCAAGTTGCCAGGGCCAGGATTCGAACCACAATCAGGCACATGGGATCTGGCTTTCTATGCACAGCGCTAAACCACCATGCTATGAGGCAGCCACTACAATAGAATTTTGTATTGAAGAAACAGGATACCTCTTTTGGGGAAGAACTTTGGCAACAGTTTTGAAAACTTTTACAACAGAAGACACAGAGATCTCTGTAAATAAGTGTTACCAGGTTCTGATACTCACTGCACAGCCTCTGCAGTAGAGTGGCTAACAAATTACTTAACAAACAACATAACGGGAATGAATGGGCACAAGCACGGTGCTGCCTGGGAGCACTGTCCGCTAGGCCATCTGTCTGTGACGCTGAGTACCGCAAGTCTAAGTCACTCCGAGTAGACCCAAGTTACCAGACCTGCTTACTTTGAAAGAAAGTATAGCTATGTGGGTGAGGATAAAAGAAGGTCCTACTTTAACGTAAAACAGCAAGGCTTTTCTTTCAAAAATGCCCTCAGATTTTTTTTATCCAGGAAGTTTTTCTTTTTTTAATGCCCTCAGATTTTGATGTAATCAACATTATGATGTCAGGACTGTTGGCACTGGTTCACTATCCACTTTATAGAAAGAATCCAAAAGTCCAAACTTTCTGAGGACCCACAGGTATGGAAAATGCCACACCTGGGACCAGCAGTTAGCGTAATGGCTATGTTGCTAGACTCATGTAGTCGACCGCGGTTCGCGTCCCGGACCCGATGACTTAAATTAATGCTGGGCGTCGTGTGTGCGTGCATGCCCAGGATCCCGAGAGGAGAATGGAGGAGAAGGGATTGCGGCGTGACCATCCCCCCTGGGGGGTGATTTCTTGCTTTCTGTCTCTCTGTCTCTATATGTCTTTCTGGCAAGCACATGCGCCCTTCAGAAAAAAAAAAACAACAACAACAAAAAAACAAACTTCTCCAAAAAAAGGAAAAAGAAAATGCCACACCTGACCTCTTGGAACAGGTCTCAGTCAAAACTTTGCAAGACAGAAAAAAAAAAAAAAGGTATAAAATTAGCTTCAAACTCTGTGTACAAGGTCCATGTGAAATGTAAGTGACTTAGGTTAGGACTTGGGGCCCATCTCCAAAGATTCTCATGAGGTATATGCAAATATTGTAGAATTTGAAACAAACAAACAAAAAACCCTCCTATGTCCAAAACACTCTGGTCACAAGCATTTTGGATAAGGGATATTGACCCATACGGAGCCTCTGTCGGAAGTTTCTGAGATTTTGGGGGACCGTCAGGTGGTGGGGTGGTTAAGGGCACTGGGCTCCCCACATGGTGGATCGTAGTTAGAGTCCCAAACCTGGCTGGCAGCTTGCTTTCTCACTTTCCCTCTCTCTCTCACTCTGTCCTTCTCTAGTCAAATTTAAATAAATAAATAAATAAATAAATAAAGCTAAAACAAACAAATACATGTTTAAAAAAGTTTCTGAGGTTTTATTTAGAAAGATGTAAAACTGGGCCAGCCAGTGTGGCATGGTGGTTAAGATGGCTGGCTCCCATGTGGCCAACTACACAGTTCAAATCCTAGCTCTAGCAGTTTGAAAACTATGCCAGGTGTGTATGCATGCCCAAAATCCCAAAAGGAGGGAGATGAAGAGAAGGGATTGTGGCATGACCATGCCACATGGGGTGATTTCTCACTTTCTGTTTCTCTCTCATGAGTGCATACACCCTGCCCTGTGGCAAATTAAAAAGACAGACAGACTACGCTTGAAAAGTAATTGACAGAGCAGTGGAAAAGGGGGGAGCATTCCCTTGCCAAACGGAGCCCACACCTCTCACGACACTGGAAGTGGGGACGTGGAATACCTTGAGGAGTCTGAAGGCCGTCATCCAGCAGGTCCTGCTCTGCTCGTCCTCTGCACAGAGCAGCCTCAGCTCTTTAGTTTCGTTCCTCACTTTGTTTGGCTAGAGAAGGTGAGGAAAGTCCAGTCAGTGTCACACAGGGAGTCGGAAACCCTCCTAAGCCACGGTAGCACTGCCTCACGAACCAGAGGCGACTGCGGGAGACCATCTAGCAAGGTGCAGGGCAGGGACACGCACACCCAGGTGGTGAGGGCTCAGCCACACGGCACGGCCGCCTGACACTCCCCTACAGAGTGGCTCCCGTGGCCTGGTCCTGGGTGCGTGCAGTTACTCAGCACTTTGCTGAAGAATAAGCCATCCTCTGGCCGGAAGTGCAGAGGAGACGAACAGGAAGTCAAACCTTCACAGGACGACATGGTGGGCACGACAGCACAAGGAGAGGCACCTGACGGTGGAGGTCCTCTGTGGGAAGAGTGTCTGCTTCCTGAATTATGGGGGAGGTCCTCAGAGTAAGCTCCCAGGGAAACTGATGTTAGGACAGAGGAGGGCACTGGTGGGGGTAGCTGGCAGGGGAGGTGCCCTCAGGGGCCCAGGGCTGTCTGAGTATCTCCAAAGCCAGATCCCAAATGGAAGTGCAGAGAACGAGGCCACTGTGGCCACTGGAGGAGAGGGACAAGAAGGAAGAGCAGCCCAAGGCAGGTGGGGGCGCCATCCTGGCCCTGCAGCCCGACAGAGGCAGGGCTGCTGGGGAGTGAGGGGTTGACAGCAGGAAGAACTGACCACAGGATGACCTGACCTGGGCCCCCACCAGCCCAGGCTTGTGGGACAGAGCTGAGCCAGGTCTCCACTTCGGGAGTCTGGAGGGCCTGGGAACACCAGTGACAGCCCTTGCCCTCAGCTGGCAGGACAGGAGGAGCAGTGACAGCCCTTGGCCTCAGCTGGTAGGACAGGAGGGGCACTGGCTGCCTGACCCCACCTCCAGCCCCTCCTGACGCCTCCTCAGGGCCCCGCTGGTTTGGAGTAGACTCCCATGACTTGCCGCCAAGAGCCTTCATGGAGCCAGGCAGGCCATGGCATTTTAGGAGGGACTTTTCTGCCTGCCACAGTCCAGGGAAAGGCTCCCCTGCTGCGGTCCCCCTGGGATGGGGCTTAGGCTCTGGCTCGGAAGGGAGCCCACTGAGTGAACTCTAGGCACCACGACTCACTGGCCACTTGGTGCAAGTGCGGCGGCTGATTGTCTTCCCCCCAAGCATCGATGAAGACTGAACAGGATGACAATGTGAACCCGCCAGCAGAACCCCTGGTGCTCAGCAAGCTCCCAGAAGATGCCACCAACCTCCATGACCAGCGACGTCCACAACCTCACCAGGGCAGAAGAGCAGGCCCTGCTCGAGGGTGTGTGCACCCGTGTATGAACGTGCACATGTGTGCACAGCTGGGCTGTGCAGAGGATAGGCAAGGCTGTGGGCATTCCTATCCAGTGTTCTGTGACCAGGAGCCCACAGAGCAGGCACCTGCTCACTCAGGATGCCGAACGCCCCCAGGTGACAGGCGGGAGGCTCCTTGTCTCCTCTGCCTTCTGGGTCACTACTACGCCTATGGCCACAGCTGGGCCCCGGATGTCAAAAGCTATTAGCCCACCAAGTGGCATCTCCATCATGTGTCTGTCTGTCTTTGAGCTTCTGAGCCACACGAGGGCCAACACAGAACACGCAGTCGATGTTTATATACAAATGGATCAATCCAGCGTGAAACTGTGCTTCTGTTCAAAATGAGTGTGGCAACAACCAAATCCCAGGCAAGCGAAGAATCTGCTGTTTTACTTGAAGTTCACAGACGGGCCTAACCGCCTGTTGCCAGTCTGGCTGCAGGGAGACTGGGTGGAGCACCCACCTTGATGCAGAGCCCGTGGTCCGTGGGGGCACCGTACTGCTTCTTCCCGGCGATCAGGGAGAAGATGTTGCTGTCCTCCAGGTCGGCCAGCAGCTGCAAGTGTCTGGGTTCCTGCAAAAGCATCGCCAGGTGTGAGTGGGGTGGGCCCGGCTCAAGCTGGCCAAGAGCAACAGGACGTGGTCGTCCACAGAGGCCACCTGTGCAGACACATGCCCCTTCTCGCCCCGACCTTTCAGAGGCTGTAACCACTTTAACCCTAAGGTAGGGCCAGCCGGGAGCTGAGTGGTTAAGGGAACTGGATCCCACACGGCTGACCGTGGTTCACACACCAGCCCTGGTGGCTTAAAAACACCCCAGGTACATATGCGCAAGCTGACTCCCCAACAGGATGGAGGAAAAATGGGAGAAGGGATGGCAGCATGATTATGCCCGACAGGGGTGTGCTTTTTCTCTCTCCCTCTCTGTCTTCTCTCTGTCTCTGTCCGGGATGCACGTGAGCCCTCTGGCAATTAAGAAAAACAAAAACAGAAATGCCAAATTAAAACCAAACCCATCCGGCCCTCACTCAAAAGCCCACCACCCAAGTTCTCAAAGGACTCCTGGAAAGTATTTGACACCTCTGCCAAACCAGAGCCCTGTCCCCAAATCTTCAAGACCTAAGTGCAGGGCACCTTCACGCACGCAGGGCCTGGATCCCCTTTGGCACACTGTGTGTTCAGAGTCAGACTATGTCCTCGACTTCCCTCTAATACTGTCACACGTGTCCTTTTCTTCAGCTCTCCTGCCCCGTTCTGCTTCCTGCTCCAGGCTACAAACTGCCCTGGAGTCAGTGTGTGAGGACGATGCGTAAGCCATGAATCAGAGCGGTGATGTCAGGATGCACCTTGCCCTGCCCTGTGTCAGTCAAAGCCCCTCTCTAAGGATGACCCCCTCTCTCTGGCACGTGTCTGGCAGCTGCTAACTTCCCACTAGGTCAGCCTGGTGCTCAGCACCCAGTCTGGGGGCCACCGGCTCCTTCCTCCTCTCTCCTGGCAACAGCAGAAGAGGCTACAACGCTTGGAAGGCAGATGCTTGGCCAGCATTAGCCAGACGCGGCTCCCCCTGCTGGGCGTACCTGGGACGTCAGAAGGTAAGAGCGTTAGAGACCGGAGAGAATCCGGAGAGAATCCTGGACTAAGGCCATAGGCTACCTGTTCTCTTTTGAGGCCTGCAGGTGTTTCCCACCTCTCGCCTCTTCTTCCCATGGGAGATGCACATAAAATTGCAATTTAATCCAAAAAGAAGCTATGACAACACAGGTTAGATTGGCAATGGGGCGGCAATAACATAGCAAATGTTCTTACTGTTAACTTGGAAGTCAACTTCCAAATTATGAAAATTTAGTCGTTAAAGTGGCTGAGGCAGCTGGGAGGGTCTGCTCCCCATCCACAGTGGGGGCTGGGGTTGGGCCTGGGCCTTTCCCGTTCTGCATTACATTTCTGACAAAAACCAGAGGCCAGGAACTCCAAGCTAGCAGTTAACACAATTAGCTTAGTAAGTTATGAGCCTGGAGAAGTGTATAGTATTTTTTTTAGGTTTATGCTATAGGGCCTGCACACTTGCTGGAGAAAGACAGAGAGAGGGAAAGTGACGAATCACCCCCGGGGGCGGATGGCCACACCACAATCCCTTTTCCATTCTCCTCTCAGGATTCTGGGCACACACGCACACATACCCAGCATGATTTTCAAGCCACCAAGTCTAGGACTCGAACTGTGGTCGGCCATGTGGGAGTCCAGCGCCTCAACCGTCATGCCACCTCCTGGTCCCTACGGTCCATTTTTAAATAAAGCCCAAGTGCAGGGGGCAGGACTGGCGCTGGTGATGATGGGCTGACCTCACCTTCGACGTTCCCTTTGTGGAGCAGTACAGGCCTGATCTCCGCAAACACACGTACAGCTTTTTCCACGATTTTCTCCCCAGCTCTTTCACGTGCAAAAACCCTTGAATTTCAGGACAGCTGCTGGAGTTTAGGAAGTTCTGTTGAAGGACAAAATTTAAAAATCAGGTAACGCCGACGTAAAATAACCACAGTGGATGTTGTTAGTTGACTTTTTCTGAATTATTAAAATCTTTTTTTATTTTGGTCAAACAGTTTTTTCATTTCAAAAATCAAAATGCTGTTCAAATTGGTGGTGCACAGAGCACAGTATTCAAGCACACCCAGGCAGACGGACCGTCCCCAGCCCAATGTTGGTGAGCGGGAAACGTCATATTTCCTCACAGGATGGCACGCGGAAGGATCCCACCCTGACTCCAGCTTGCTGTTCAATGTCCAGTCTGACCGTCAGAGACAGGGTGAGAGCGCACTGGGGGCAACTGACTAGGAGCACTGCAGATGGAGAGGGAGTACCTCCGTGTCCACCTGCTCACGATGCGCCCGGATGCCTTGTGACAGCCCTCGGTGACTGTCCTGGCTAACTCCTTCGGAGGAACAAAGCCTCTGCTACAACGAAGTCAACAGCCTGCCTTGCCTATCTTCCTTCTTTCCTTCCTTTCTCTCTCTCATTCTCTTTTTTTAAGAGATTTTTGCTATAGGATGTGTGTGCTTGCCAGAGAGACAAGACAGAAATCACCTGCCCCCAGGGGAGATGGCCATAACTTAATCCCTTTTCCTCCCTTCTCTTTGAGATTTTGGGCACGCATGCCCACGGCCTAGCATGCTGTGTGAGTCTCAAGCAGCTGGGTCCGCGACTCGAATCACAGTCTGCCATGTGAGAGTCGAGCACCTTAACCACTATGCCACCTGCTGGTCCTCAACATACTTTTCTGTGCATGAAAAAGAAAGGCCAATGCCCAGTCCTGATCAAAGTAAGGGTGATGAGACTGCAGGGTGGGGGAGGGTCTTTCCCAGTGACCTGAGAGGGGACCAAGCTCCTTCTTAATAGGGTGCTGGGCAAGGTGTGCAGAGGGATGGTGAGCCGGGGTCTGGCTCTTCCAGGGTCTTAAAGGATCATTGTACACCACCTGGAAGCCAAGGCAGTTCAAGTGGCAATCCGCCATTTCACTGTCACTGCGCACGAGTGACAACAACCAGAACGGAAAAACATTGTGGTCGGGAGGGCTCCTGAAGAGACCACTAAGACAGCCTCTGAAGATTCTCTCTTTTCGATGGTAGAAAGAAATGTGGTGAGCATCACGGCAGAAAAAGAAGGGCCTAAAGGCAGAATTTGGTAGGAACTAAATTTCAGTAGTTTCTCTATAGGATGCCGAGATACTGTTGCTTAACCTAGGGAATGCTTCCTTCTGTCGCTTCTTCACATACACACGAACACCTTATAGGGGTGCACCTGTAATACTCCCTTTCCCCATATCCACTGACCCCAGGGGGAGTAGGACTCAGAGCAGTAAGCACAGAGGTCTCAGTCAGAACCACTGGAAGGGAAGGTGTAGAAAGACCAGGTCTGCTTGGAACAGACTTTAGAAACCAAGACAATTAAAATGGGTACCTTTAATTCCTTTTAAGGTTTATTGAGTTATTTCCTCCAAAAGAGCACATGTATGTGAGACAGTTAAAAGATAAAAAGAAATGGAGACAGAAAGATGGTATCTACAACAGGGTTCTGATGCCACAGTCCCCCCCAGGCCTCAGCCAGCCGGATCATGGGCACACACCCGCCTGGAGTACTCAGGAGGTCCCCAGATGCACATCTGGAACCTGCCCCTGTGCTGTGCTTCACCGCTGCACCACATGTGGCTCCTCCTTACTTTCAATGACCAGTCATAAACTTGGTGCAATGCAGGTGGACTTAGTACTTCCGCAGAGGTTTCCAGGTGGCTACGCAGTGGCCGGCCTTGGGACCCTGTTCAGAGATGTGACCTCCGCTTCTCTCTCCAGCCCTCCAGCCCATGCTCAGCGATCTGTCACTCAGGTTGCTGCCAAGTCAGGGCACGCTCACCCAGTTTGTAAGTGTCCACTTTGCTAGAGGGAGCCTCGTGACACACGGACTCCCCACATAAACTCCTTTCTGGTTACTCTAAACCCCAGGAGGAGTCAAGGATGGTGCAAACTAGGGCCTGGCCGTGTCAGTGCAGTAACGTGACTGGACCCACAGGGGAAGGCCCCGGGTTTGTGTCCTGAGGTCTCTCTGTACATACTGGGTGCATGCGACCCTGTGATGTGGGCTGGCTGAGGCTGGATGGCAGCAAGAGGACCCAGGAAGGGGCATCTGTCTGTCTGTCTCTTTCTGTTTCTCTCTCGCTCGCTCTCTAGTGGCAGGAATAAATATACAAACTTACTATTATTATTTTTTTAAAAGGATGCAACCTCTTTGAATTTTTACAATGCCACCATCAGAGTTCTCAGAAAACTTCCACCCAGAAACCCTATTTCAGCAGAGGTCTCATTTTGCCCTGTACCTGCAAAAGCTGGGTTTGACCGCCATTCGACTGCTGGCACCAGGTAACCATCTGTTCTGGGAAGAAATTCTAAGGAAATGAAGAAAAATCAGAATATTAAAGCTTAGCGTATGTGTGTATCAGGATGACAGGTACGATGGCGTGCGTGCGTGTCTCACTGCACAGTCCTCTATTCCTGGCCACCGTGGAAACACCTGTCACGAAGGCTGCGGGCAGCTTCCCGAGTGGGTACACGCGCTGACTCTCTAGAGTTCGTGCTACACGGCGGGCACTGGAGCACAAAGGGAGGCCAGCGCCATAATCCAGGGCTACGGAGCTGGACGGGAGAGAAATGAATCCTGGAACTAAAAGGTGTATCCAGTCACGCTGAAAGCCTTTCCTGCTGCATTACCAAAAAACAGATGCCAAATTTCTCACTTTTAAATGCAAAAAGCTGCTAAATTACCACAGCCATCAGTGGGCCTAAACGTCTCCCCTGGGTCACAAGTTCTGCCCCTTGACCTGGGGTGGGAGCGAGCGAGTGCCACGGGAGCTCATGCCTGGGTAGCTGATGAGACAGGTGCTTCCCCGGCTGGCAGAGGAGACCAGCTCTACTGCCAATCAGCCCTCTGGATCCGCTCCTCATGCTTCCACTAGAATCACAAAACATTTACTCTCTTCGACCGAGCACTGGAGCAATTTGTTCTAAGAACTTTCCAAATAACTGGGGAAACCTGGCTTCTCCTCTCTCTCCACCTAACTCCATCTCCCCTCCTTCACTGTTTCTATTTGAGGAGATCGCTGCCTTTGGCCAGTCACAAGGCACTTGGCCGAGCACCGGGGACCAGTTTTGGAGCAAGGACTGTTTCTGTAAACAGCACCTCAGAGCCTTCCACCCGTCCCCTCTCACCTCCCCGTACACCAGGCAGTTACTCTGCCATCTAGGACTTCTCAGCACGAGTGTAAACGGCAAGACTTCCAAAGTCCCGAGCCCCAAATCTGAGAGTGAAGACTCACCGTAGGGTTTTTGAAAAACTCATACTTTGCGTAATTCTTCCTGAACACAAATCTGCTCTCGCTGCTCATGGTGCTCTCCACTTGGGCCACCAGCTCGTGGTCTTCCAGGCATCGCTCTGCAGGGAAAAGCATCAGGTGTGAGGGGGAACAGCCAGGCGTTTCTGGGCAGCCTCTCAGACAACCGCTGAATCTGACTTTCTGTCTTTTTTATTCATCTGCCCGAAGCTGAGGTCAGGAACTAGGAAAGCCGAACCCTCGCCTGAAAGCACTTCCAGATGCAGAGGAGGTCTCCAAACGCACAGCATGAAGGATGCAGGGCACTGCTCACTCACTGCTATGACAGATGACTTTTAAGCACGGTATCAATGAAACGTTAAGGAGAATCAATGAAAGTTGAGCAGCTGGTTGTGCCCTTAAATGAAGAAAATTCCACTTCCTGTAAGAAACATACAACTGGGAAAATATTCAAAGACAATGAGGTGGGCGGGGTCAGAAGGGAGAGGTCAGAGGGGAGGCAACGAAAGCATTTGGATTCCATGAAGTCTGGTCACCCGGAGCCGTGGGGGGACGTGATGTGGAACGCTGGTCAGACAGTAGCTCCACAGACGCGTCCTGCACACACGCGCACATGCTGAGCACGGCATGGCAGAGTCGTTAGTTGGCTTGCATCCAAAGGCAGAGGAGCCTTACTACATGGGGTAGTTTTCATCCATGTGAGGACACGTGCATGTACACACACACACACACACACACACACCCCTCTCACTCACTCAAGGCCAAATGCCTTACTAAGCAGTGTCACCACCCTAGAAAGACCATTTCCTCACTGTCTTGGCACTGGTGTGTGTGGCGCAGGAACTGGGTGTACTCCCAAACCATGCCACTCTGCTCGATGGTGACCATGCCACCGTGTCTCCTCCCACACTAGGCAGATAGGGGCAGGCCAGGGACCAGCCATGCTGAACAGTGGAACAGACAACCCGAGCACAGATCAGGCTGGGCCGCGTGTGTACTGGCGCCTGCACACGGAGCTCACGCGGGCAGTTCTGGCCTTAGGCACCTTCTTCCTTCCGTGCAGCCAGAACTGAGCTCTACAACAGGCTCAGCATGGAAGGAAGGGAGACGTGAGTGCAGAGCGTTTCTGAGTGCGAGCTATCTCAGAGCTCAGAAAAAGAATTTCTGTCCGCAAGGACAACTATCGCCATGGGGCCTCTCAGACATGGAAGCAAAATCTGGGGCTGATCTGGCTCAGCCTTGGTTTTGACGTTACAAGGAACACTGGTAAAAATGCATGTAAAGCCAGAGTTTGTGCAGGAAAGGAATTTTCTCCCCAGGGCTGCCAGACAGCTTGCAGTGCGTCAGAGGCGGGCCAGGCCTGGCACCTCCAGCAAACGTGGAACGGTTCCAACCTGCCTGCCTGGAGAGGAAAACCGAACACTGTCTTTGAGTCTCTCCATGATAGAGAAAAAGGAAAACCGTGAACAATCTGAGCTTCAACTAAAACGGATACTTTGTTTTCAAAAAGAGGTTGGGGACCGACTGCTGTGGCAGAGGTGGCAGGGCAGGGTTAGGCTGCACATCGCTGGAGCCACACAGGATGTCTGGGTTTGGAGTTCACGCAAACCAGGATATGCTGTGTGCACCCATGATCCCAGCTGGCTGGGACAGACCTGGTCAAGGGTATCTGTTGCTCATGAAATAAAGTACTTTTTTTTTTTTTTAAAAAAAAAGGTTAGCCTCAAAGTTGTTCATTAAAAATGACTTCTGCAGCTTTTTTTTTTTTTTCCCTTAAATTTTCCAGAGGGTGTGTGAGCTTCAAGGACAGAGACACGGGGGGGAGGGGGGGAGCGAAAAAGCGCACTACACGGGGTGTGGTCACGCCGCAATATTTTTCCATTTCTCCTTTTGGGACTTTGGGCTCACACGCACGTGTGCCTGGTGTGTTTTTCAAGATGCCAGCTTGGAAACTTGAATCGTGCAATTGGCCATGTGGGATCCGGCCATCTTAACCACAGGCCATGGGATGGCCCAACTTCTATTGATATTTTTTCAGAGGAAAATGTCTTTCTGTAGTTTAAGGGGGGGGGAGGGAATAAAAACCAATAACCAAATAACATGTTGACGGCTGGTGTACAAAATTAAAAAAAAAATTTTAAGAGCCAAAGAGGACCGACTTGAGAGAGTTCCTGCCCTAAGGGGCACATGGTTAAGGTGCCTGCAGGCTCCTGCCCCCGCCTGGAAGACACTCTGGGGAAGCCCCAAAGCACAGGACACACTCAGAGGGCAGAGGACTCGGGGTAGACTCCAGCTGGACAGGGAAGGACTTGGTGTCTTGTAAGGGAAGCCAGGGGACTTTGGGTACATGGTCTTGGGTGGACTGTCAACCCAGGGTGGGACTGGGAAGGAGGGTACTTCTCCAGCTCTGGTCATTCTGGGGTCCTGAGGTGGGCCCCAACATAAACCAACGCTGCTGCATGATCCCCGTCTCTCACCCCCAGGACAGCTCCCTTTCTCAGAGCGCCCAGAGCCGTGGCCCAATGTCCACGAGCACTAATGCCCTTGGGTGTCGGTGTCCACAGCAGCTGGCTGACTGGACGCATGGGCTGAAAGTGCCTTCCTTCAGTTCTGCTCTCTTCCACGGTTCTAAAGACCCATATGTTCGAAGGGCCTCTGATGACTACATTAAACACTCACACCTGTAACTTTCCGACTGTTATCCGCCCTGAATACAATGGGAATGTCATTTTTCACTCTGGTATTCCAAAGTTCTTTGTGCAAGCACAGAGGAGGTGAAAATCCTTTGAAGGCCATTAGTATTTTCCAGATTTCTGAAACAAAGTCCAGTATCTCTGCCACTACTCGATCCCCCCCAAAAAAATTCTTAAATACTGGACAATTTCAAAAAGAGGATCCGACTTCTTTTCCTTAACACATGCAGCTAACACATGAGAAGCCCTGGGCTATGGGGTGGCCACAGCAGAGTCAGGGCAGGTGGCATGGGTGGCACAGCCTTAGCCGACAGCTGGCTGCTGCCCTGGGCCCCACACAAATCAGTCTCTGGGTGCACCCAGCACACTGCCCCTAGCAGCCCACCCAGGGAAGTCCATGTTCTGCCACCAAGCTCAGGGCTGAGGCCGTGGGACACTGAACAAAGCTGTCAGGAAGAGGTCTAAGAAAACCAGCCTGGGCCAGCCAGGGATGTGGTGGTTAGAAGTGGCTAGATCCCACATGGCTGACTTCATGGTTCAAGTCCCGCACCTGGTGGCTTGAGGAACATGCAAGGCGTCTGCTCCAAATCCACAAAGAATGGAAAATGAAGATTGGAGCATGGCCATCCCCCTAAGGGGTGATTTCTCACTTTCCCTCTCTCTCTGTCCTCTCTCTGGCGAGCATGTGGGCCCTATGGCAAAAACCAAAAAATAGAAAAATAAAGAAATAAGAAAAGTAGCCTGACACAAGCCGGCTTTCCATTTGCAGGTTTCAGGGAGGACAGCACAGAATTGTGGCTTTTCAGATTTAATAGACAAAACGTAGCCTGCACGAGGCCGCTCTGAGTACCCAGGTCCATCTGGGCTGGTCTGTCCCAGACACCTCTCTACCACTCCAGATGCCAGCACGCAAAAGCACAGCTGCCACGTGGCCCCAAGCAGGACCCTGAATACAACGGGAGTGTCACCCCAGGCTCCAGGGTTATCTGACCTGCCCATGCCCACGGTCATTCGGGGCTGGGTATGAGAGGCCCGCATAACAGGTACCCAGCAGGGTAGGGTTTACCTGCAATCCCATTTTCAGGTTCGGGCAGGCATCAAGATGCCGTTTTGTGCATTTCCTATTTCTTTTCTTTTTTTTTTTTTGAGAGGTTTTTCACTATAGGGCACGTGCACTCGTCAGACAGAGAGAGACATAGAGACAGAAAGTGAGAAATCACCCCCCAGGGGGGATGGTCATGCCGCAATCCCTTCTCCTCCATTCTCTTCTCGGGATCTTGGGCATGCACACACACGTGCCCGGCGTGAGTTTTAAGCCACCAGGTCCGGGACGCGAACTGCGGTTGATTTCGTGGGAGCCCAGCAACCCAGCCATTACGCTAACTGCTGGTTCCCTCAATTCTTATTTCTCAAAATTTCTTTAAAAGATAGTTTGCTTGACATGTCTGTAGGCTGAGCTGAGTCCCTGCATCCTCTGTGTGTGATACTGTCTGGTCAAAACAAACCTTCGAGAGACATGCGGCTCATGTGCTTAGGACACAAGGGGCAGGGCACTTTCCATTGGACATGCCCCCTCCTGGGACCTCCAGCTGGACTTAGCACCAGCTGTGTCGTGGCCTTGGTTGAGGACAGTATTTCCCTGGCTCAGGGCTCTACCCCCAGATAAGAGGCCAAGACTCCCCAGCCCGCAGGAAGTGTGGGAAGAGCTAAGACAGCAGAGGTCATTTCAAGGGGAGGCAGACTGGAGCAGAAGTCCCTACAATTGCAAAGTGTAAGCTCCCCAAGACCGTCGATCAGTAAGGGCTCTGCCTACCAAGGCAAGAGTTCTCACTGATTGTTGAAGGTGTCTCAAATGGCAAATGTCCTTAGGAACTGACGCTGGGGCCCTGGAAGGGACACTGACCTGGCTCTGGGCACAGTGTCCCCTTTGCTCCCCAGCAGCAGTCAGAGATGGTGGGACGAATGCACGCCTGCAGAGATGCTGTCCTGCTGCTCTTGTGGTGGGTGACCAGCATCCTGAGGGGTGGTCGCAGGCTGCAGACACCACACACCTGCCCGCCTTTCTCAGGGTAAAGGACACCACCTCCAACCTCAGATGGGCAATTGGGGGCACTTCCCACTTTTCTAAAGTCATCACTCCCTTCTGGGCATGGAAAGGGTTTAACATTACTAAGGATCCAGTATTTCAGCTGCTAAGACTGGCAGAGTGATTGCACTTTGAAATCCTCAACTTTTGGAGAGTTTTTTTTTTTTTTTTTTTTATAGGGGGCGTGCCCTTGCCAGACAGACAGAAGCACGAGAGAGACAGAGGGGGAGAA